AATTGAAATCTATGATTACTCATTAAATAGTTTAATTCTTTTTATAGCAAATTTTAGTGGTATTACTCATGTATTATTTACAAATTATTCAAATTATTTTCTTAAATAATTTGAGATATGAGAACTTTAATGTGGGACTGTATTCTTAAACAGAATTATGGCTTGGCTACTTTTAATAGAAAAATTGAAAAGTGTTCCCATGAGAATTATTTTTCACCTGTTTTACTTAAATGCACTATTAAATTTTTTTTTCAGTTTTAGTAAATGAATCATTATATAGTCACAGATAAATATTACTGAAAAAATTATCACATTTTCAATAAGTATAGGTTAGAAAGTTAGACTCAATAGTAAGGGTAAAAACGTACTATGTTAATATTTAGGAAAACTAGATAATATATTATTAAGAATGAGCACTAATGCAAATTTTAATATTACTATGCAGTTTTTTTGGTGCTTTATCTTGTACAAGAGAAGTCTTCTTGTCTAACCTTGATTTAATTGTACTCTGTGCATAAGCAGTAACCTCACTTGGGTCATGAATGTGAATCAATAGAGTAAAAAATGCCACATTTGACCTTGCCATTATGGCAAAACTTTAGATATTCAATATTGTATTCCTTATTGAATGTGTTAATTTCATTTGGAGATAACATAACTATCTTCATCTTTAAAAACATAAATGAATAATGAATTATACCAAAACAAGCTTTTGAATCATCTTTTAGATTTTAATAGCCTTAAGATTGAATTAAATAGAGACAATGTGAGTAAATTACACTGACATAAAGAGTAAATTTATGGTGCAGATTTAACTACATTCTGTTACAAATTGTGCCTGAAGAGTTTTATAGTTTTGTTTTCAAGGAGGTAGAATTAATAGGAATTGCATCAGGAATACCAAGCATTATGAGGATGAGAAATCTCGAATTACTGTTATGACACTCTGCTACCTAGCAATGTTCAGATATTCATGTAAAGACTCCATTAAGTAAGAATTGTAAGAATTGTAAGTAAGAATTGCTAAGAATTGTAGCTAATGGAACTTAATATGAGCCAATGGTATGAAGGAGTCTCTCAAACTGCTAATGCCCCTTTTGGTTTCATTAAAAAAATAAAGGAATAGGTTTGCAAAAAAAGAGAGAACTAACAATTTTCTTGAACTGTGATCTGATCCAACTTGCATCTCTATTACATTTAGTTCTGGGAGTTCAGAGTAGGCCTGATGAGCTTGAGCAACTCTATTGGAAAGCAAACAGGAAAGCAACACATCAGAAATGACTTTAGATATCACCTGAAGGAGAAAAATGATGGAACCCAATAGAAAAGCCATCAGGAAGCAGATGCGTTTAATTCACCATTATCTCTGCCTTGAAAACAAATGTAGCCTAGCAGTTTCAGTCATTGAAAAATTTCAAGCAAAGTTGAATGAATTCATTTCAGCAAACTTGTATATTAGATTTTGTGTTAAGTAGGGGCTTGAGCTGGATGACATACAAATCACATGTGATTCAAAGATTTTATAATTATTTAGATATACACACATATATAGGCAGATATGCTATGTATATTGATTAAATACTGTTTAAAGATGTAAATTCAACTTTAAGCCTTATTTCATCTAAATTAGCTGCACTTCTCTAAAACACCCATTACATCATAGAAACTTCTGATGAAGAAAGTTACAAAGTGACAAGTGGGATTTGATGTCTGTTTCATTACAAAGGATGTTTTCATTCCTTTTTGTCCCTTGTCTCCCTTACAGAATGTATATTAGAGTAACAAAACAGTTTGATTTCTTTTCCTTTTCAATTTTTTGGCACTATAGAGTTGTAATCCTGCGTAAGTGCAGCATATCTACTTTTGTGGTACTCAGAATAATTAGAATTAGAATTGCAAATTCAAAGTGCTGTAGAGAAGAAGAATTAGAAAGCAACAGTTCTAAAAGAGTCCAATTTGTCCCAATCATTGTGGAATGCATATACACAACCCATAACATCTTCTGGGTTCCTGGACTACATGTGTTCTTGGGACACTCAGAAAAAAGACCTCTCCTGGTGTATGAAATGTAACAAATTGTATGCCAAAGATGTATCTTACTAAGATCTCAGATATCAATTGCCTGTTTATTAGCTCGTTTTCAAAATATACTGTAAAGCAAAAAATTAAATTAATTCTAATAATCCAGTTTAAAGTAAACCTAAGACATATACTACTATAGGGATATAAAAGTCGTGCTATTTCCTTCAATCAGAATATCAATTGTGAAATAATATATGGCCATTATGTTACCAACAAATCTTTTTTAATAGATGTCTTTCAGGGTACTATCAAGCTGGATATTTTCTCTTGACTAATGATGTGTGTGTATATACGTGTGTGTGTGTGTGTATGTGTGTATGTATATATGTATATACATAGAGAGAAATAGATGGTGATATGTATCTGTATTTGTTTAGCTAGGTAGACAAATAGGAAGATAGATAGGGAGATGGATATACAGACATGCATCACATAACATTCAGTCAACAACAGACTGCATATAGGACAGTGGTCCTATAAAATTATAATGGAGCTGAAAAACTCCTGTCACCTAGTCTGTTGTGTCATGGTAGCCATATAGCATTGTAGTACAATGCATTACTCAGGTAGAAGCAATTGGTTATACCTAGTTTGATGGTATAGCCTAGGTGTGTAGTAGGCTATACCATCTAACTTTGTGTAAGTACACTCTACAATGTTCTCACAATGATGAAATCACCTAACAATGCATTTCTCAGAATGTATCCCCATTGTTAAGCAATGTTTGACTGTATGTACATATATGTATATATCTAATATATGTTATAGAAATGCATATGCTATATATAAACATGTGTACACATATATAGCTTTCTGAGAGTGAAGTGTAAATATTTTGAAACAACCCAGATTGTAAACTTAGTTTTTATATTAGTCAATATTACCTACTGGAAGAATTTTTCCAGGATGAATAAAAAAATAAAGTACAAACACATAAAAAATCAGTTCATCTCACATTCATGTTCACATTCATAACATAAAACTTGTTTTATATGTGTACTCTATTATGGAATATTTATTCCCATAAATGGTCTTCCTGGCTCCAACATTGAGCCTCTTAGGTGCCAGGATGCTTTTTGTATGCTTTTTGTATACATGTATGTATGTGTGTGTGTGTGTGCATACATGTATGCTTGTGCATGCATGATTAAAGCAGTTACTTAGATGCAGTTTTAAATTTATCCTCAACTTGATATTTTGCTTGGATTCTTAGTCACTATGATGAAGAACATCCTTGGGAGCCAGAGCTGGGTTCAAATCATGGCCCTCACACTTATAAACTGTATAGTCTGAGAGGCCAGGTAATCTCTACAAGACTCATTGTATCTCTTTGAGAATGTAGAGATAAAGTAATACCTATGTGCAAAGTTAAACATGTATGTAAATTGCCTTGTACAGTGCCTGAATGTTCTTGTAAATCGTATCAAGTCATAAAAAGTAACTTTTTAAAACTCTTTCATTTTTTATATATGACAGCAAACGGATTTTTTTACTGAATTAATTATTCACTCCTTTGAGATTACTGGATATATAATAATCATATAATAAAAGTGCTTAAAACTTCCTTCAAAATATTCTTTCAGAAACTTATTCAACCTATTATCTCTTTTCTGTCGGTTTATGGTTTCTTGCTTTTAGATTTAAAATTTACTGCTTATGTGATTATAGTGTAATTTATAACAAGGTGTTGAGCAAGTGTTATTAGCCAATAGCTGTGCTGAAATCCTAACATATTATCATGTGTTGGAATATTATTATTGTATGCTAGAAAATGGCCTTGTAGTTCCCACAAGTAATGACCATTTTCTGATAGAATCTGTAGTTTTTTTATATTTAATAAATTTGTTTGGTAACTTTAAATTCTTGTTTATTAAAAGAAAAAAACCAACCTTGTCTAACTTTTTTTTTTTTTTTACTGCCAAATAATTCCTTTTATATTTCTTTAGATGAAATATTTTGGTAATAAAACTTTTCCTCCTTTTTCCTCCTTTTGCCTGAGGACTCATGTTTTTATTGGTGATGAAGATTACATTTTATTTGTAACTCTATTTCTTTCCCCTTTCTTTGTCAGAGTCCCTATTCTATCTCTTCCTTGTGTGCTTTCATGCTTAATTTTCCATCTTGTTCTCTTGTGTTTCCATCCAACACAGTATTAATGAGCATAAGACCTTTCATACTCAATTAACCTACTCTCTCCCTTTGGCACTGCATTGTTTTCCTTAAGATTTTCCTTGAAGTTAAGAATTTATATAATACAAATTTATTGTCATTATTCAGTTTGTCCTTCTAGACAGAAATCACCCAAGACCAGGTATTTCCATTTCAAAATTTGTCTATACCTGTCGGTTTCTCCAGCTGACCTCTGAGTTTTAATTTCTCACTACACTCTAGCTCCCACCCTCATGCCATTTCAGGCCCAATTTGGTGTTCTTACTCATCTTACTAATTCTTCCTTAAGATGTCTTGCATCCTTTTTTTTTAAGACATAGTCCAAAGACCATGTTCTTCAAGAAGTTTTGGCTAAATCTGCTTTTCTTGAAAGCTGACAGTATGAAATTTGGTCTACATTTTGCATTCTGTATACTTTTATAATCCACCAATGGTAGATTTCTGAGAACCACCACATCTTCCTGCTCCCTCTTCTCAAATCAGTATATCGATTTATCTCTTCTGCATGAAACTTGATTTCCATCTTCATTTAAGGCTAATCTACATATGCTTCTGGATCTTGAGGTAGTTTTAAGGCATGTCTGCAAATTTTTTGACACTCCTCCACAAAAAGTGGAGTCTGATTCCCTCCTCTTGAAATTTAGGCCAGTACTTAGTATCTCGCTTCTAATGTGTTGGATGAGAAGCAGCATGACATCTAAGGCTACACTAGAAAAGGCAATTCAATTTCTGCCTGTTTCCCTTTCTAGGGACACACATCTTGGGAGCCCTGAATTGACATGTGAGAAGTCAAAGCTTCATGCAGGAGAGACCACGTATAGAGGCCACACTGAGGGGGAGACATCCAAGGAACTCCAGCTGTCACAGCCCCCAAAGGTTTGTCTTTCTAGTGTCAACCGACAGACACATCAGTGAACAAATCAGATAATTCCAGCCTGCAGCTTTTGAGTTGCCCCAGATGACTGAGTGGGACAGAAATGAGATGTCTCTACTGAGTCCTGTCCAAACTTCAGATTTGTGAGCAAAGTGATATACCTTGTAAATTCCAGGTGCTTCAGTTGTGAGTTCCAGTCTCTGACTTCTCAGCTCAGAGAGATTGTTCTGCTCTGCTTGGCTTGACTTCCCAGTGCCATGATCCAAATGTGTCACCGTGAGGAATGTCCGGGCAAACATCATACTCACATGTGCCTCAACTTTTCTCACAAATTACAACCCTGTACTTTCTTTTTGTTGTTTACAGCAGGAAGATGAGTTTACTACCAGTGACTCCATTATGACCAGAAGTGGAGCATTTATTAAGGTGAATCTATAAAATGTTTATTTAGTTTGATGAAGATAAAACTAAAAGGTAGAAATCCCCTGCTGATAAGGAAAATGATTATACCATGGAGTCTTTTTAATTATTATAGGAGACTGCAGAAAAAATTCTTGATAACTTTAATTGCATAAATTTTTTTCATTTTGTTTTCACCCTGAAAAGTGGTAATAAATAATATATGGAAATTTATTTTTCCTCTTTAAGGGATATGAAAAACTATATTTTGAGAGTTTCAAGAGTGATGAAACAAGAAAATTATAGGTACTATGTCACTTTTCTACAAGATGTTTAGAAACGTTATGTTTTGAAGATTTTCTATTTTACATATGTCTCAAAGTTATTACTTAGTTTTCTTTGGAGTGGCTCTTTGAATTTAATTGCCATTACTAATTTTGCTTGTTAAGACTGTTTCACTGTTATAATTATAACTTATTATTTATATGATAGACAACCAAAGTGGCATATAGCTGCAATAAATTCTGTGCAACAATTATACCAGTTAGAAACTATAGCTCAGGAAAGATGCACTGTTAAGTGAAAATTTAGAAATTACTAAATATTTAGTCAAAATGAATCTTTTCTTTCAAGGTAGAAATCCAGATTGAAGAAAACCAGGCAAAGAGTTAAAAATGTTTTTTAGTTTACCAGAATGAGAACGCAAACAGTTTTGGGAGGGTATCTCTTTAGTAATTATTACCAGCATACTGAGGCATTTTGAAAAATAGTGCTAAATGCTCTAAAAATTAGAAAATTAAGCAAAACAAAATAAAACAAAGAAAAGAGATAGTCACAATCACATAAAAAATAAAAACAATATTTTAACTAAAAATATAATTTCAGACAATGCAAAGAATGAAATCTGGAAAAGTTAAATAATTATGAATCTCCTATTTTTGCTTAAATGTATGGCAGGGCTGCCCCCTGATTTGTAGGCTGAGAAAGTAATTGCTTCTGTGATGAGAATGAAGAGGGACATCTTACTAGTGACCATGAATATCTCTAATACAAGGAGCTGAAATTCTAGTCTTTATATTTCTCCTTCTAGGAGTAAGGTGAATTCTGAAGTCCTTTCTGCTACAAATCAAAGAGGAATTGAAACCAATTCTCTACAAACTGTTCCAAAAGATTGAAACAGAGGCAATCTTTCCAAACTCATTCTATGAAGCAAACATCACCCTGATACCAAAACCAGATAAAGATACAACAAAAAAAGAAAACTACAGGCCAATATCCTTGATGAATATAGATGCAGAAATCCTCCAAAAAAAACTAGCTAACAGAATACAGTAACACATATGCAAGATTATACACCATGATCAAGTGAGATTCATCCCAGGGATGCAAGGTTGGTTCAACATATGCAAATCAATAAATGTGATACACTATATCAAAAAAATCAAACACAAGGACCATATGATCATCTCTGTAGGTGCTGAAAAGCATTTGATAAAATTCAACACTCATTCATGATAAAGACTCTTTACAAGTTAGGTATAGATGGAGAGTATCTCAACATAATTAAAGCCATATATGATAAACCCACTGCCAATATCATCCTGAATGGGGAAAAGATGAAATCTTTTCCTTTAAGAACAGGAACTAGACAAGGATGCCCACTCTCACCACTCCTATTCAACATAGTGTTGGAAGTACTAGCTAGAGCAATCAGAGAAGAGAAGGAAATAAAGGGCATCCAGATTGAAAAAGATAAAGTCAAACTGTCCCTGTTTGCAGATGACATGATCCTACATATTGAACACCCTAAAGCCTCTACAAAAATACTATTGGAGTTGATAAATGATTTCAGCAAAGTTGCAGGATACAAAATCAACACACAAAACTCAGTAGCATTTCTATTCTCCAATAGTGAACATGCAGAAAGAGAAATCAAGAAAGCTTTTCCATTTGCAATAACCACCAAAAAAATAAAATATTTAGGAATAGAGTTAACTAAGGATGTGAGCAGTCTCTATAATGAGAACTACAAACCACTGTTGAGAGAAATTAAAGAGGACACAAGAAGATGGAAAGATATCCCATGCTCTTGGATTGGAAGAGTCAAATCAACTAGTTTCTAAATAAAATATACTTTTAAAATGCATTGCTGGACTCAGGGGGTTAAGGAAAGTCTCCAAGAATCACCTCCTAAAAAACAAACAAATATACAAATTAACTTGTGAGCTTAGACCAAAGTGAGATCAGTGAGTAGTAACTGGAGATCAAACTGGAAAAGTGAAGTTGCCTCAAGAGAAAGTGCTAATATTAGTAAGGCAATAACAGACAAATTTGTCTGTCATTTGCAAGATGGGAAACCTGATATTAGCGTATTAAGATCTCTAATGTGAATTCAAGTGATTCCAGATTGTTAGCAACCCCTGGCTCTTAGCAGATGCCAATGAAAATCCTCTCTGAAAGATAGTCACTTCTATTTAGACCGCAGGATTTTCAAAGCTTTTAGTTCAAGCAAATTTAGCTCACAATTAAGATCAACAAACACACTAAAAAAGATGACTTCATGACTGAAATCTAGCAAAAACAACAAAGACATCTACCAAGGACTACAGATAATAAAACTAACAAACAGAGGAATACAATTTAACTGTGAATGAAATGTTTAAAGGTATAAAGAATAGAGTAAAAAACGTGAAAGGAAAGAGAAACTTCAAATACTACCAGGAAAAGTTGAAAAAGAAACCAAATAGAAATTTTAGGTGTAAAGAAGATCATTTAAAAAAAAAATCAATGTATAGGTTAAACAGCAGACCAGATGCAGCTGAAGGAAGAATTAGTGAACTGGAGGATAAATCCAAATAAATTGTCTAGAATATAGTACAGAGAGAAGACAAAAAGGTGGAAATTTCAAAAAGAAAGTTTTAGAAGTATGGAGGAAAGAATAAGGTCCAATATAAATTGAGGGGAACTTCCAGAAAATCAGAATAGAGGAAATGGAAGACAGGGAACATTTGCAGATATAATGGCTAAAAATAATTAAAGTCATGAGTCCACACATAGGGGATGCAAAGTAAATACCAAGCATGATAAATTAGAAAAAATCTATACCTTCAAACTTTGTGATGAAACGACATAAAACCAAGATAAAGAAGTTTCTTTGCAGTGAAGAAGGAACAAAAATGACCACAGACAGAATGTTGGAGATAGAATGATAAATAGTGCTCAAATAATTTGGTAAACATATAAGTAAACATTGTCTTTATAAAATAACAAAAATACTAATGTCTTATAGGTTAGAAAAGGAACAGAACTAAAGAAAAACATGTTAGTTGGGAGGAGAGAGTGATATTAATGTGTTCTAGAGCAGTGCATAATACTTTAAGTTTAATACATAGTACTTTACGCACTTGGAGATAGTTTTAAACAAGTGGATTCTCATTTAGTGGGCTGTGTGGCCACTCTGAAGAAATATTATAGACAACCCCATCCAAAATTTGGTTGAGAAGTAGAGATTAATGAACACACACACACACACACACACACACACACACACACACACCCCACAAGAGGGTATAAAGAGGTTTATAACCCTCTTTATAAGGTTTTCTGAGGAAAACAGAGAAGCTCCCAATCATCCATAAATGGCTCAAGTGACCCAGAAAAGGAAACTAGCTTGAAGTTTTTATGATGGTTAGAGGTAGGACTGGGTCAATGTTCCTATGTGTGGTTTTAAATTTCCCAGAGGCACCAAACAATAAAGCACCTAGGCTTTCTTATTTAGCTTACTCAGATACATGGTAGAAGGGGAAGAAGGAGGGTAAGGCTTAAAAGCTGTCAATAGTCAAACATTTAATGAACAAATTGAGTCAGATTCTTTATTATAATTCACTCCTGATATATGACTGATGACTGAAATGTGCCATGTTTAATTTAATCGGTTTGGAACTTAAGTAAACTCAAATGGTGCTCTGTGATGTCTGTAGCCTGAGACCAGTAAGGAAAGTTAAAATTCCTTTGAAAGCCTTATTTGAGAGCTCAACATTTTGTATGATGATAAGTAAAATGAGTGCCTTGGTCACTGCTATGGTTTGAATGTTTTTGTCCCCTCCAAAATTCATGTTAAACTTAATCCCCAGTGAAACATTATTAAAAAGAAAAAATAAATAAATGGGATTATATCACACTAAAAAGCTTCTGCACAGAAAGGAAAGAATCAATGGAGCAGAAAGACAATCTACAGAATGGGAGAAAATATTTGCAAACTATACATCTGACAAGGGATTAATATCCAGAATATACAAAGAACTCAACTATACAGTGAAAAACCAAATAAAGTAAAAAATGAGCAAAGGAGATGAATAGACATTTTTCAAAGGAAGACATAGAAATGGCCAACAGGTACATGAAAAAATGCTCAGCATCACTAATCACCAGATTAATGAAAATCTTGCCCCGATTAGATTGGCCATTATTAAAAAGACCAAGAATAACAAATGCTGGAGAGGATGTGGGGAAAGGGGAACTCTTCTAAACCGTTGGTAGGACTGTAAATTAGCACAGCCATTATGGAAAATAGTATGGAGTTTTCTCAAACAACTACCGATAGAGCTACCACATGACCAACCATTCCAACTACTGGGCATATATCCAAAGGAATGGAAGTCATCATGTCAAAGGCACACCTGCACTCTCATGTTCATTGCAGCTCTACTTACAACAGCCAAAATATGGAACCAACCTAAGTGTCCATTGACAGATGACTGAATAAAGAAAATGTGGTAAATATACACAATGGAATACTACTCAGCCATAAAAAAAAGAATGAAATTCTGCCATTTGCAGCAACGTGGATGAGTCTGGAGAAAATTATGTTTAAGTGAAATAAGCCAGACAAAGAAACAAATACAGCATGTCCTCACTCATAACTGGCTGTTAGGAAGGAAGAAAGGCAAGGGGGAGGAAAGAAGGAAGGAATGAAGGAAAGAAAGAAAGAAAAGACCAAACAATATGTTGAACTTTCAAAAGAGATACCATCTCTAGTATGCTTCAAAGCCTAAGGATACTAGAGATGGGGGAAAGGAGAGAGGGGGTTGGGGAAGTAATGGGTAGGGCAAAGGGAATAAGGAAAGATTATTTGTAAAAATGTACATGCTAATGATTAATAAAAATTTAAAATAAGAAAGAAAAAGAAGTGTGGCCTTTGGGAGGTGATTAAGTAATGAGGGCTCCACCCTCATGAATGGGATTAGCACTCTTATGAAAGGACTCAAGGTTGAAAGAAGTGCTCTCTTGCTCTTCTGCTGTTCTGCCATGTGAGGACACAATGTTTCTCTCTCCCAGAGGACGCAGCAACAAGGTGCCATCTTGGAAGCAGACCTCACCAGACACACTTAAATCTTGGACTTCCCTGCCTTCAGAACTGAAGAAAATAAATTTCTGTTCTTTATAAATTACCCAGTCTAAAGTATTTTGTTAGAGCAGGAGAGGAGACTAAGACAGTGACTGTTTCATAATCAGCTATATTTGCACATTTTTACAGGCTCTTTTGCCATTGTCAATGGTCTAGCTGTCTAGACTGACCAATGGCAAAACCAATTCCTTGTACAAGGTTGCACCCTTTTGTGTAAAGAACTATGGGATTTTCCTGTCTCATATGAAATAAATTATATTTAGGGTGTCTATGAGCTGAAAGACCAAGATGAAGATGTCAGCAGGTTTGGTTTCTTCTGAGGCCTCTCTTTGGCTTGCAGATGGCTGTGTCCTCACATGATCATTCCTGTGTCCTCATATTGTCACCCCTATGTCAGTGTGTTGTCTGTGTCCTAATCTCTTCTTCTTATAGGAAGACTAGTCATATTGAATTGAGACTGACCCATATGACCTCGTTTTACTTACTTACTTCTTCAAAGACCCTATATTCAAATACAGTCATATTCTAGGAACTGAGTGTTAGGACTTCAACATACAAATTTGGGGAAGACACCATTCAGCCCACAACAGATGTACTATGTTCCTTTGAAAGTGAAGGTAAAAATTGTGGCAAGAGGCTGTTGAAATAGGCTCTGAATATTAGCCAAAACTACAGTACCAAAAATATGTACCAGTTGCTAATCTATTGGAGTCAATTATTTCAATAACATCGTGTATGAGTGCCCCAATAGGTGAGACCACTGTAT